ACAAAGCTACCATCAGAAACCACGATTTTTTTCAGTCGGCGTTTGAAAAGTGTCAAAAGCCCGAACTTCTCGAGTCGGCCAAGGTCGCTGAGGGACATAACAGCAGGAGGAAGTGGGCCGACGTTGCTTATCTTAAAGAATTCTCTAAGGAAACGTACGTGGTATAGATGTACGTGGCACCACCTATAGAAAATAAAATGATTTGATGAAGGAATTGCTGCGGGAGAACGTTACATGACCACTCAGCAAAGAAAGGAAAGTTTTAGTACCTGACAATAGACTCTCCAAACCATGGCTTACTTGCTCCGGTGGGCATCATAGCGACGGCAGCAAAGATAACGGCATAACAGATGAACACAGTTATTACTATACTTTCAACAAATAATGGATTCATTAAATTGATATCGACGAGGGATAAGACTGCCAGGAGTACAATAGGTGCACCAGCAGAGCTTTGGAGGATTGTTGCAGTAAACTAGACGAAACAAAATGCGCAAAAAWGTTAATACTGTTTCGTTTTGAGATTCAAAGACATACACTGTAGGTGAAATTTAAAGAGATGTRGATGTATCAACTTTGCCCAGAAGCAMTTGAGATAAGCTGTTTGGTAGCTTTTCCCCCTTTTTTGCGAGCGTGTGACAGCATTTCAWTTTGTCAACGTGYTTTAGATGCTAGAAGTTCCACGTAGTATRATTYCGCACCGTCTAACACACGTTAATTGCATGCTAATAAAAGATACATTTTATTTTGAATCATTGATGGCTTGCTTATACCTTACTAACAATGCTGTCATTTCTGTCTCTGATWGGAGGATACGCTATGACGTCATTTGTTGCGGAAAGTCCAAGGATGAGTAGKAGTTCGCGAAATYGTTCAAATTTATCTTCCAATTCAGGTCCTGGTTTGGTTACCATGGCGGCAGTGGCCATGGCATCAGCAAGCTTAACATGCCATGGACTTAAGGAAGAACTCAAGTTATCAGAACCAGGGTCCTCGGTAATAATTTCAATCTTCTCGCTGCTAAGCCCAATCATGGTGTCTGG